ATTTTGAAATAGTGGTTAGACTAGTTGAAATTAATCGTCACCAAAATGAAAGAAATAGGCTTAATTGAGACAAAGTTAATGGTCGCCAAAAGGTAAGAAGACTGATGGTTGTACTGTTGGACAAGAAAGAATGTATTCTATAGCAAGAAGTAATGCTATTCCGGATTATAATTTATAAGAAATGAATCAAATTTGTCAGCACTGTAGTGCTAAGAAATTTCCAGATGAAACGCATGTTCTATGTTGCTATAATGGTAAGCTAGCTTTGCCTCCACTTTCACCATTTACACAAGTTTTACAATATTTATTTACAGGGAGTTATGCAGATCGTAATGTCAATTTTTTAAAACATATTCAAAATTATAATGTTTGTCTTTCTTTCGCCTCTTTTAAAGCAGCAGTTCAACCAATAAATCATGGGCTTTCATGTTATAAAATATGTGGCCAGATTTTTCATCGTGTAGGTAATCTTAGGCCAGGTCAAGAAATTCCACCAATATATTCTAAACTCTATATTTATGATCCACTTGCAGCAATTAATTTTAGAATGCAACAATATGGTAATGATCTTTGTTTACGTGATTTAATGCTTCAATTGCAAACTATAATAACTGAACAAAGTCTATTTGCTCTTGCATTTAAAAACATGGCTGAAGTATAAGATGAAGAAATTCATCAAGTGGCTATATCGCTCAGCTTCTGATGTAAAAATGTCTTTACTTAAAGGGAGTGATAGATGTTGCTATAATCTACCTTCACATGATGAAGTTGCAGTTGTCTTTGTGGTTGAAGATGGTACTCTGCCAACAAAATGATTTAATGATCTATTAAGTACAATAACTTAATTAGTATAATAACTAATTTGATCAATTAGTTGAATAGTTAATTAACTTTATTTTTTATTATTTATATTAAGAGTAGCAGCAACAACACTTGGTCAATGTAGATGTGATTATTATCACTATATTATAAAATTTATTATTAAAACTTTTCAAAATTTGTAGATTTGTATAATATTAAAAGTAATTTATTAATTTATTACAATCCACTTCAACAACAGAAACTGCAACAGCAGTTTCTTCATTAACTGCTGCAGTTACTGGTTACAGTTACATCAGCTGCTGCAGTTAATGGTAAGTGGTTTGCACTTTGGCACATTATTGTATTTGTGTTATCTTTACACTAACATATATTGCTCTGTTATAAAATTGTTGTTTTGATATCATTTATTTTCATTTAAGATTTGTCATACCAGGCATTTTTAAACTACAGAAGTCGGCACAAAGGACCCACATTCTACAGAGCGCACAGGGTGTGAGTCCGAAACAGCGGACTGGACTACCCCTACCCCTTCTTCTATTGGGGTAGTGGTGGTTGCTGTAATAAAAGAAGGGGAAAAGGGGAAGAAAGGGGAGTTACATATATCTACAATCAGTATTTTATAGGTTGTAATTCTACAAAATACTAATCGTAGATGTTTTTTTTTCTTTTTTGTATTTAGATCTTTATAAATTTTTGTTTGTACAATATCTTTGTGAATTTTGTTTGTAAATAAATATCCTCCTTTTTAGTTGCGCGTTTAATTTTTTGTTATCCCCTTTCCTGCTCTAAATCTTTTAAATTAACTAAATAAAATTGCTTTTATAAAAGATCTGCTTCTATCGCTTTTTAGGCGCTCCAAGCATTTGCCTATTTTTAAGTAAATGCTTGATAGTCCAGTCTTAATTACCTAAACCATAATCTGTATGGCCAGGGGTGTTCAACGTTAACTACATGTTCTTTGGTATTCCCTGAATGTTAACTAACCCGCTTTACAAGTTCTTTTTTCAAGAACGGTTTTACAATATAGTGCCGACTTTCAACACTGGCTGTTTGCTGTAATAATTATAATTTTATAGAACTATGATGTTTACTTTTTAAATCATAAATTAAGTGTTCATATCTACCAAAAAAAAAGGTTAAAATTAACAAAATAAACCAAGATCTAAGGTATTTTTAGTTATCAAAATATCAAGTTAAAAGAGTGTACAAAAGATTAGGTGTTTTTATATATTTTAAAACTATTGAAATTTGATTCCGTTGTTATAATTTAATTATTATATGTTACCAAATACTAACTAGAATATATATATATATATATATATATAAATATATGTATATATACATATATATATATATATATATATATATATATATATATATATATATATATATATATATATATATATATAAATTAGTAGAAAATCACTAAACGAAATTTTTTTTTCATTTTTAATGAAAAAAAAATTTTATTTAGAGATTTTCTACTTTATTACAATTTATAATTACTCAGTTCTTTTAAGAACATTGAGCACTCTATTTTGTAGAATACATTTTTAAAATTGTTTAAACATATATATATATATATATATATATATATATATATATATATATATATATATACAGGCCTTGTTTTAAAGCGTTACGCCTAGAGCGTTTTACGTACGCCTTAAGCGCTTTTTACGTACGCGTAGAGCTGTTTTGGTTAAGCTACTTTTTATCATTTTTTAACTTTTAAATTAGCGGTAACATAAAAGAAGTAATTAATTTTGAAAAAAACCACATTAACTTTTAAATAACGATATGTAAAGGTATTTATTTAAAAAAAAAATTTACTAAAATAAAAATTGTTGTAACTTTTCATCGCGATATATCTTTCCTTTTTATAGCAATTAATTTGACGCTAAACTTTTTATCCAAATATTTAGCAACATGAAAAATTGTTTGTCAATCCCTAACTACAAATTTTTTGCAATGTTTTTAATAAAAAGTAGTAATTTTTTAAAGTTTTTAGTAAAAAACTTTTAAAAATTCTATATTCCATGTTTATTAATACAGAATATAAAAGTTTTTTGTAATATAGATTTCTTATGAATTTTTTACTGAATTTATAATAAAAAACATTTGCAAAAAAATTTGTAATTAAGAATTGACATTTTTTAAAATAAAATCTCAAAAAATGTCTTAATACTTTTGTTTTCATGATAACAAAAATATCAAGACATTTTTTCGAGATGTTAAAAAAAATGTCTTTGCTTTTCTTATTAGTTTAATAGTATATAGCTTATAGTTAGTTTAATAGTATATAGCTTTTCTTATTAGTTTATTAGTATATAGTTTAAGTTATGCGGGGGAGGGGGTCGGCACAGAAAAAAAAAATTACCTGTTACTCGCAATATTTGAATGAAGACAATTTGTTAAAATTCTTCTGCGTGCGATTCAATAAGTTTTTTTTTCATAAATCAAGTTATAATATAAGGTCAAGTAATCATGAGTAGACTACAACATCCGCTGATGACACTAGTATTACGTTGAATATATTTATATAACGGAGATTTTATTATGCACGCGCACATTACAGGTTCCGTTAAATAAATACTAAGGCACGTTTTAGTTTAATGACAGTCTCCATTTTTTACTAATGAATATGTATTTTACTTTATAAAACAAAACAAACTATAAAAACCTTGTATATTTCTATTATCTCTAAATTGTTTAAAGTTCGAATAAAGATTGTATTTTGAAGGACAAAAGATTTACTTTAAAAACTTTTAAATCTTGGGATTTTGCCGATGCTTTGCTGATGCGATGATCACAGAAAAAGAGAAGACTTACGTTATTAAAATCAAATGTAAGTTATGTGATCTTCATCAAAATAAAATATTGTCCAAAAACAATAGTGCCGTAAGGGCAACTGCCCAACGGTTTATAAATAATACAAGTCATGTTAAAATATTTTAACATGTTACTATATTTTAATTAAGTTGATATATAATTAAAAATAAAAATATAGTTCAATAAATAAATTAAATTTATTCTTAACAAAGATTAGCTCGTATTTATTCTTTTTTTTATTTTATTAAGTTAAATTGCTTACAAACGAAAAAAAAAAAAAGAGTTTTGTAATTATACGTAGAATGAAAATACTTTTGAGTTTGTTTATAAGTTAAGGAAATTAATTTTTAATAAACAAATTTTTACGAATGTTTATTATAAACAGATACGATTCAAATTATTAAATATACTTAAATTATTTCAGTTGAGTATTTTTTTAAGTTTGCACAATTAAAGTTTGGCGTAGAAGTATTTGTTTTTTTGTTTTAAGAATAATTAACAAAAGAGTTTGCATAATTAAGACTTTTATATTTAATTTAATTTTTTTTTTGATTTCCTAAAATTAAAAAAAAAAAAAAAGATTTAATCGTTGAAAACGATTTTTCTCTATAGCTCTGTTTCTTTGTGATTTGTTTAAAAAGTTAAATATTTTTACTATAACATAAAAAATTTATGAATTAAATTCCTAGCGAACGCGTTCTAAACTACGTATCAAAAATATGCTCAAAGCAGACAAAACTTTTTTATATTTTTATAAAACGCAAGTTGAAACGCTTTTAAAAATTTTAAAAATATTTAAAAACTTAAATTTTTCTTTGTTAGTCAAAACAAAATCGTTGTTTAAATAATTAACATGGGTTTGTGTTTATCAATGTTAATATTTTTTGTTTACTCTAGAAATTTTTAATTACTAAATAATATTGAACTAAAATTAATAATAAAATAAAAATTGAAAACATTACAAAATTTTCATAATAAATTTATATTTAAAACGTTTATAGTTTATATTAGAGTTAATTGTTAAATTAAACTAGTTTGCGGTTATTTATTTATTGCCGTAGTTAAAACACTTAACATCTATAAACAAAAATAAAGATAATTTTATGACGTCAAAATCGCGTTAAGCTAATGCATTAGGCACTTTTTTATTTAAAACAAGGCCTGATATATATATATATATATATATATATATATATATATATATATATATATATATATATATATATATATATATATATATATATATATATATATATATATATATATATATATATATATATATATATATGTTATATGTATAACTAAATATAATTATTAGTTTATTTACAAATTAAAAAGAGAAATACCAATAATATAGTGAGTTTTGCCAGGTTCAAAAGATAATACTGCAGAATCACCAGAATCTTTCTTAAAAAAAAATGGATAGATTGGTTTTTCATCTTTTGTATAACTACAATAAAGCAGTCGATTTGAACCTAAAAAATTTTAAAAAATCACAAACTAATAAATAAATTCATAATAATATGATAAAAACATAATAGAAAAATAACAAACCTGTTGCATCACATTCATTGAACTTTCGCTCATTAGTACCAAGGAAGTAAGCATTCTCTTTTAGTTGATTATTATCAAGTAACAAATTTTGATAAGGTAGATCACCAGTTGGACATGCTAAAGTTAAAGTATCGTAAAGCCTTGCCCGAATGGTAACTTCACAGGAAAATCTATTTTATAAAAACAATTCATTTAAATAAGACATTGAAAATCTAAAAATAATATAGCGTTTGTACTATTCTTGAAAATTTTTTAATAGAATAGCAAATAACATGTACAATTGTTCAAATAATGGAAATATAAGTAAACAAAAATTAATAAATACATGGGGTTTCGAGGATCCCAATATATTGTAGGTAGGACAATTGAGTTTACTGTTGTTAAAGATACAAGTGCATAGTAAATATACCACATAGTGACATTTAAAAATTATAATAAACCCCTAAAAAATATAAATGATGAGTTATTAACATTAATTTTCTATAGTTTTAATATAATTGTAAGAAGTATCAATAATTTTTTATCAGTTTATCAGGATGAATTTATATGCCCACACACACACACACACACACACACACACACACACACACACACACACACACACACAAACACAAACACACAAATAGTATTGAGCATTTAGCTAAGCAATCTCACACCATACTAAAATAGGGAGCTATGATGGCTTCAGTATATACATTGACAGACTACCAGGGACAACATGCAAGGGAGTGCCGCTATAATAACTAAGGGTTTAGGCATCATTTTTATTTTTATCATTCTTTGTTTTCTGATTTTATCAAAAAAACCATATAGATTGAAGTCAGTATTTTAGCTCACCCAATTCTGATGTAAATATGCGAAAGTAATAAATACATCTAGGGGAGTTTGAGAGACTCTGGATAGTTTTCATTTTAATTGAGCTTATTGAATAATTAATGCATTATTTTTAAGTACTTTTTTACAAAATTGTAATTATTACACATGATATGACTTACTAGGGTTGCCAGATGTCTTACTTTTAGAGAGTAAAATACAGCACCAAAACTGTAAAAATAAACTTTTTTACTGTGTTCCAGACATCTGGCAACCCTACTTATGTACATTAAATAAATATGCAAATTCAATTAACAATGATTTATTTTCTTTTGGAATTATTGCAATTGGTACTCATCAAAATGGCAATCAAAATATATCATGTATAAAAGTAATCCTCTTGTTCTCTTCATGAGCTGCACCAGACAATAAATGTTGATTCTTGATTAGTTTTTTAAAATCTATAAGAAAAAAATTTTCTTTTTGTTCTACTCCACATCTAGATAGTAACTATACATCATAACCACCTTCAGCTTTTTTAACAAAAGCTGAAGGTGGTTATGATGTATAGTTACTATCTAATAGTTACTATCTAACTGTATAGTTACTATCTAATTGTTTTCTAAATTTTTAGACCTTTGCAACTATAGATCTTTCTACCAGTGCATCAAAAGTTATTGAATCCATTGCATCAAAGTTGTATGTACCTTCATCAGAAGAAATTTGTAGGTTGATTGAAAAACTGTCAACAAACCATTTAAAAACTTAATTAAGACTGTATATCTACCAACATATGGACCATAGACAACATTTTTCTACTATTAACAAGTAGGCAGATTTTTAAGTATCTATTCTCTCCGTGTCTAAATTATATATATATATATATATATATATATATATATATATATATATATATATATATATATATATATATATATATATATATATATATATATATATATATATATATATATATATATATATATATATATATAATATATATATATATATATATATATATTATATTAATAAATTAATCAAAAGTATTAAAAAGCGTTGATTTCCTTCTGGACAAAACAAGTGCAACTCCACAAAATGTTGACCAAGCTGTATTTCGCTATCAATATTTCGTGGCGAATCCTTTGTTGTCGATCACAGCCTTGCATCTTTGAGGCATAGGTTCCATCAGGTGATCAATGAATAGATGCCCAGGCCTTTTGGATTTGTTCAAACAGTTGATCCTTATTACAAACACCTTCATGATTAATTCTGCAGTTGACAATCCCCCACAGGTTCTCGATAGGGTTGAGATCCGGAGATTGAGGCAGCCAAACCATCACCGATAGGTGGTTGTCTTGAAACCACTGCTTGACTACTTTTGCAGTGTGTTTCAGATCATTGTCTTGCTGAAAAACTCATTTTATTGGCATATTCAAATTAGCATGAGGTAACATAACATCTTTCAGGACATTTTTATACATGAAACGGTTCATTATTCCATCATTTCAATGTATTGGACCTAGACCATTAGCAGAAAAATAACCTCAGACCATTACATTGCCTCCACCATGCTTCACGGTCTTATGGCAGTAACGTAAATCAAGGCGTTTTCCGGCCGGTCGACATACACAGCAAATGCCATTGCTCCCAATGATGTTGAACTTTGATTCATCACTGAACAGGACAGCTCGCTATTTCTGCACATTCCAGTCAATATGAGATGTTGCAAACAGGAGTCTTTTCTTCTGGTTCTTTAGTGAAATCAGCGGTTTCTTTGCGGGGTGTCGAAAAAACAATCCGGCTTCAACAGCACGTCGTCTGATTGTTCGGTACAGGCAGCTCTAAGGGTATGATGATATCCAGGGATCCTTTGTTATCTGCTGCCAACTTCCCCGTAGAACGATATTTGGAACAAATACTTTTTTGTGACATTACACTTACGTAATCGCCAATAATTTTCTTTCTTAGTTCCAATCCAAGAGTGTCGGGAGCCATTTTTGCACTTGAAGTCATAAAAATAATACAAATAAATAATCACGCTTTTCAAGGCTTACCGTGTTACATTTACCTTGTGATGATACAATAATGCTCTGTGGAACACAACGTCTTGGTTGGATGTGGACTGTATTGATGTAATGAAACACTTGTTGTATTTCACTTTTTGTATTGATGTTCTTCGATAAAACACTTTGATAAAACTCACTTCGATAAACTGTCTTGATAATACTGACTGATAGACTTCCATATACTGACTGAATTACATGTCGGTTTACATGTCTCTTATAGAGTAAAATGAACCTGTGGGAACCTGTTCTGGAAGATGTTTCTTTTCGATGCTTAAGGAAGCTCCTGGATGTGTCAGGATGCTTCTGAATGTTTCTGGATACTTCTGGATGCTTCCAGATGCTTCTTTTGGAAACTTCTGGAAGCTTCTGGATACTTCCTTTAATTATTAAAAAACTTATGTTGACGTTGACATAAACCAGACTTAAGAAATGAAACAAACCAAAAGAGTTGCACTTGTTTTGTCCACTGCAAAATGGCACTTGTCAATGAAATTTTGCCTGTGTGCTGTCACCTGTCAGCTGATTGCTCATGTCATGGCATGCTATGACTCCAGACTCCTGAACTGTTTGCTGTAATAGTATAGTTCGTTTTTGTTTTTAGGACATGTAAAATAAGGAACACTTTTTAGCATTGTTCGATGTTGGTTGCATATGTTTTGTCCAATACTGTATATATATATATATATATATATATATATATATATATATATATATATATATATATATATATATATATATATATATATATATATATATATATATATATATATATATATGGATATATATATATATATGTATATTATGCGGTAGTGGTGTAGTGGTAGAGCGCTCGCTTCATAAACGAGTGGTTCCGAGTTCAATCCCCACCATGTCCCTGGTAGTACCGCGCTCAACTCGTTTCTCCGCGCAGCGGCCTTGTTCGTCAAGGTTCGTGTTTCAGAGTTATAGAGTTGAGAGAGGGTTATAGCCACAAAATAAGTAGCCTCCTCGTCTGTAGTGGCCTTCTCGGCCTTGAGGAGGTGAAGTAAAATAAATAAAATATATATATATATATATAATATATATATACATATGTATATATATATATATATATATATATATATATATATATAATTTATATATATTATATATTATAAATATATATATATAATATATATATATTATATATATTATATATATATATATATAATATATATATATATATATATATATATATATATATATATATATATATATATATATATATATATATATATATATATATATATATATATATATATAATTTATATATATTATATATTATAAATATATATATATAATATATATATATTATATATATTATATATATATATATAATATATATATATATATATATATATATATATATATATATATATATATATATATATATATATATATATATATATATACATATTTTATTTTTATTTTAGAGATTTTTTATTTTGTTAATGAATAATATAATATATAAAACATAAGTATTAATTGAAATATATATTATTCTGGAAAATAAAATAGATCTGCAACTATTTTTGCAGTAATGTTACTAAATAACTTACAATTGACAATTATTGTGTAACTGATTGGTTTAAATATTAAAGCTGCCTTTAAAAAATGAAAGCTGAACTCTATGTTGTGGGCACAACCTAAATTTAGTTTTGGTTTATAGCTTAGAAGCAAAAGATGCCCTAGCTTCAGTTTTGAAAATCATTGATTTTATTAGCACATGCAATAAATGCAATAACAAGAGAATAAGATTAAAAAAATTTAAGAAAAAATTATTTAACTTGAACTAGACTTTGTTGAAAGTTGTCATCACAGTGTTTTTTTAGCCATTTTTCATGTTACTAAATATCTTTCAACAGACAATGAAAGTACTTGGGACATGGTTGTTGCAACTAAATATAAATAATGAAACATTTGCAGGTGGCAACAAATAGTCCTAAAAGACTTAAAGACACATTTAAATGACACAATTTATATATTTTTATATTACAAAAGTTCTATTTTCCAATAAATGAAATGCACAGAGTTGTAACTCTTCTGGATCCAAATTTTAAAAAAATTGGAATTAAAACAATGACAGAAATAGAAACAAAAGAAGCAATGAAAAGTTTAAACAGCATGGTAGATGATTTTCCTAGTCAGACATCCTTCCTTTGATTCAAATCAAAATAATTTTCTGAAGTCACCTGAAAAAAAATAAATAGAAAAATACATAATGAAAACTCAAGTGAATTTTTTATGGATTTATTTAAAAATGAAGAAGCTGTTATCAATGAAAAAGTCAGCTACTAGATTAGCACAGATTCTGATGTTAATATTTGCTCTTATTGAAAAAGTAAACCAGAACTCATTCAATTTTGTCACAGTTGGCACTGTCAGTATTAATATTTCCAGCAAAAAGCACATCATTCGAATGTTCAATTTTAATTGCAGGAAGAAAATTGGATGATAGAAGAACATAACTCTATCCTGACTGCATTGATAGACTTTTAATTTTATATGGTTTAAACAATGAAGAGTTTTAAGTCATTTTTTTAAATAAAAAATGAGTTAAAAAAACACATACACAGAGTTAACTTAACTTAAGCATTAAATAACTTGAAGTGTTTTCAAACTTCTGTTGAACATAATTTCTTAAAAAAATCATTAAATAACTTCAACTTTCACCAAGTAGAACTATTTTTTTTTTGTCAATTAAAGGTTCAAGTTATCAGAAAATTATTATTATATATATATATATATATATATATATATATATATATATATATATATATATATATATATATATATATATATATTAGGGTGATTCAGATTGTAATAGAAAAAAAAAAATGTCACAAAAAACATTCTCCTCAAGGTTGCCTGTGTTCCTTTATCACCTAGGATCATGTGTACCAAAAATTAGACTAAAAGAAGCAATTTTAGGGGTTGCCATGTTTTATAAGATGAATTAACCATTGGTAAAATTTTGTGATTTTCTCAAATTTCGCAAATTTGTTTTTTCATTGTTTATTTATTTATAATTTAGAAATTGATAATATGGCAACCACTAGATCTTCTGCTGAGGTGTGGCTTGTTGGTAAACCTACACAAACTCTGTCGACTGCCAGACTTCCTTCAAGAGGAGATGTTCTTCGGAGGTTGCTCTTCCATCATATAGAAGAGAAACAAGAAGTGAAAAAAAGTATTCGGGCAACAATTGAAGCAGTTCTTGTTATATGGGAGAGAGGAAAAATTCCAACTCAAAGAATTGACAATGCGGAAAGAAAGTTAAAAAAACTTTATGACGAATATCTGCTGCTGAAAAAACACCGAGGATCAAAATTGGACAGCTGTCAAATGAAAGAAGGAATTTTCCACGCTGACCTTGAAGAACTTTTTGATATTTCAACCAAGAATGCATCAGAAGTTATGAAAAACGATGAAGATAAAGCATTTTTACGTCAGCAGCAAGAAGATCCATTAAGTTGTAGTATGGCAGGAATTGATCGGAATTTAACAGCTAGGGAGGCACGGAAACGAGTCCGAGAAACTAAAATGGAATTGAGGCGTCAAAGAAGTCAAGCGGAACTGATGGAAAAAACAGAACTCATTTCTTCTTCATCAGCAGTTGACATTGTGAGTGAAAGTAGCTCTAGTTCCTCGGATGATGATGTATATCAGACTCCTTCCGCTTCCAGCACACTGAGCACAAGTGGTTCAACGAAAAAGAAGATGAAAGTTCTAACAAATAATGTTGTATCATCTCTTGATCGTGTTAATATTTCTGATCGCCGTGCACTCTTCGTGGTTGGAACAGTGTCTCAGGCTCTTGGTCACTCGGTAAAAGATTTATCATTGTCGTACAGCACAATCCGCAGAAAAAGGCGATCTGTTCGTGAAGCGGTGACTACAGCTGACAAGGTTGATTTCTCTCCTGATGATCCACTTCTTCTGCATTGGGATGGAAAGCTTTTACCTGATATCACTGGTGGTCAAAAAAAAGTGGATAGAATTGCCATCCTTGTGACTGGTGGTGGGGTGGAAAAATTGCTGGGCGTTCCAAAGATTGATCGAGGTACAGGTGAGCAACAGGCTGATGCTTGCATGAAGGCTCTTAAAGACTGGAAATTGAAAGAACTTGTTCGGGGACTGGTTTTTGACACTACTTCATCTAACACTGGGTTGAACATTGGTGCCTGTACAATAATGGAGCAGAATCTTGACCGTAATCTTATATGGATAGCATGCAGGCACCATATGTTTGAAGTCATGCTTTCCACCATTTTCACGACTGCATTTGGAACCAGTGGAGGACCTGAAGTTGGAATTTTTAACCGTTTCCAGAAACAATGGCCAGCAATCAACAAGGAGGTGTTCACTATAGGGAATAAAGAATTTTACAACTGCGATTTTTTTCTCAAACTCCGTGAAGAAATGGTAGTATATTATAGTGAAGCAATTAAAGGTCAACAACCCAGGGATGATTACTTAGAACTCTTGAATTTGTGCCTTATTTTTCTTGGAGGATCAACTACAACATCGGAGTTCAAAGTGAAGTTTCGGGCTCCAGGTGCAACACACAATGCACGTTGGATGGCAAAAGCTATATATTGTATAAAGATATATTTGTTTCAGGATCAGTTTGTTATTACTGCAAAGGAAAAGAAAGGAATAACAGATATAAGTCTTTTTGTGGCATTTGTATACGGACAGTTTTGGAATGAAGCTCCGTTAGCTGAACGAGCACCATTCAATGATGCCAAGCTTCTTCAACGGATTCAAGAATATCCAAATCGTACAATTGCAATTAATGCAGCAAAAGCTTTTCATCGCCACCTCTGGTATTTTTCTGAACATCTAGTAGGATTGGCTTTCTTCGATTCCCGAGTCGACAACAACACCAAGAGAGACATGGCAAACAACCTGAAACAACAGCCAAGACAGAAATCTCTCAGACTTGATGCTGCCACATTCGATTGTCACAGCCCATTGCCTTCCTTCGTCACACAACGCACCGCAGAACTTTTCGATCTAATTTTGAAAAATGAAAAAGAAAAAGCTGAATCATTTTTAATGAAAGAATCTTCAGAGTGGGAAATGGATTCAACATATCTTGAAATGAAGCACAAGGTTGGTCAAATGAAAGTTGTCAACAATTGCGCGGAACGAGGCATAGCACTTATAACATCCTTTAACTCAAGCGTTACGAAAGATGAAAACCAAAAGCAGTTTCTTCTTAGATTGGTTGATCTTCACCGGAAGGAATTTCCAGTTGCATCAAAGTCTACCCTGATGAAGATGACTGTTGAATGATGAAGATGATTGATTTATTATTGCCTAGTGCAATTACATAGTAGTACTATAGTATTGATTTTTTTAACATTGAACATCCACAGTCCAGCACATAATAATAAGAAATTGATAATAAATAATTCAGTAATATAATATAAAAAATGTAAAAATAAAAAATATTTTTTTTACTTTTTGTAACCTTATACCAAAATGTGACAAAACATGGCAACCCCTAAATATCATCCGATTTGATTCAAATTTTGGCCAATAACTACTATTGTCATATAGAACAAGGGCAAGCTTGAGGACAACTAAAGTTTTGAACCTACAAATTTTGCATCACCCTAATATATATATATATATATATATATATATTTATATATATATATATATATATATATATATATATATATATATATATATATATATATATATATATATATATATATATATATATATATTGCATTTTATAGTACGTGCATTAAAAACAATATAAATAAAATGTAGCGATTTCAGTATTTCACGTGATAATACAGCAATGTTGTATACATGTTGTCAACATGTATTTTAAAGTATAATGTCTAATTAAAATACATTAGCGATTTAATAATTAAAGATTTAATTATATAAATATTATAGTACATAATATAACTTATTTAGCCTAAAACTAAACTTGTTTAAACAAATAATAAACAGTTTATTCAGCTGTTATTGTTGAGATAAATTCAACATATTATTTTGTTCGGATACCATTTTTAATATTTTAGAAAATTTCTCCGTTTTCGGTTTTAACTGTAGGGTATAGCAGAGTTAGATTTTACCGTTAACTATCTTCCGTTAACTTTATTTTAAGACACGAGAATACGAATTTTTTTTTAACGCCGGTTTTAAAAACTGCCGTTAAATTTTAACCCAACCGTTAGCTTAACGCAGGGTTTAACGGGAAGACGTGAATACGGCTACTGTTGTTTCTCCAAAACTAAAATGAAAATAAGCGTTTTAAATATTATGTATAGAAGAAATTGATTTTAGTAACTCAGATAATATTAAACTAATAACGAGTTAGTAAAAAAGTGAATTTAGTTAGTGTCACTGTGAAACTTATCAAAATAATAGTTCCCCACGATATATTTTAAATTTATGTCATACATAACAATATGTATATAATAAATTTATAATTTGTTATATACAATAATTATTATTGTATATAACAAATCATTTATTAATTATATACATACTGTTGAATATTATTGAATAATATACATATAATAACAATATATATATATATATTTATATAAATATTTATGTATATATATATATATATTATATATATACATATTTATTTATATAAATATATATATATATTATTATTATTATTATTATTATTATTTGTATATTATTCAATAATATTCAACAGTATGTATATAATTAATAAATGATTTGTATATATATAATATATATATATATATATATATATATATATATATATATATATATATATATATATATATATATATATATATATATATATATATATATATATATATATATATATATGTAAACATTATTTTACAGCATTTACAGCATCATATAATGAGTTCAAAACGTGTAAAATATGGTAATTGGTTGCTCGAAATATTCTGCTGCTAAACAATATAAAATACCAAGACAAACACTACATGACTATATAAAACGAGCACCTGTTGATAACTTTGTTAAAAAGTTACGTGCAGGACACCCAAGAACACTCTCAGTTTTTCAAGAAAAAGAGCTCATAAAAGTTCTTCTGAACATGTCACAGAGATTGTTTGGTTTGTCTCCAAAAGATGTAAAACAAATGGTATTTCAGTTTTGTGAAGAAAATAGAATTGTTCACAAATTTAATTGTGCAACTAAGTCAGCAGGAAAAGAATGGTTTAGGGGTTTTTTGAAACGCCATAATAAACTCTCTGTTAGAGTTGCTGAGTCAACGTCATTGCATCGAGCCATTGGTTTTAATAGAATAAAAGTTAATTGTTTTTACGATGAACTAGAAAAAATAATGTTTAATGCTAATGGGATGCAGATTATTCAACCATCAAACTTATTCAACGTAGATGAATCTGGATTGTCTATTTGCCTTAAACCAGGAAAAATTGTTGCTCTTAAGGAAAAACACAGTGTTGGTGGCTTAACAAGCTCCGAAAGCGGTAAAACAATCACAATAGTTTGTTGCCAATCAGCAAGCGGGTTTTTTGTCCCTCCGACGTTGATCTATCCACGTATTCGAGTAAAATCTGAATTTTTAGATAAAGCCCCAATAGGTTCTATTTCTGATGGCAGTAAAAATGGCTGGATAAAAACTGAGTTGTTTGAAATATGGTTTGATCATTATTTGCAAGCAGTCCGGCCTCAGTCAAGAAACCAACCAGTTCTTTTAATTTTAGATGGACATTCAAGTCATAAAAAATATCTTAGTGTTATTAAAAAAGCGCGCCACTCAAATGTTCTTATTTTATCACTTCCATCCCACTGCACCCACAAACTGCAACCACTTGATGTTTCGTTTTTTAAAAGCCTCAAAATATTCTATGATCAGGAGGTTAGTACTTGGCTTCGTCGCCATCCTGGTCGTCCCGTAACTGAACTAGAGGTTGGTGAATTATTTGGAAAAGCCTATGGGAAAGCTGCAACTGTTCAAAATTGTCAGTCAGGGTTCAAAAAATGTGGAATATATCCATTTGATAGAAATGTGTTTACTGAAGAAGACTTTGCTGCAGCCAAGGCTACTGATCCCTCGTATGTTGTATCAAAAATTTCAAAACCAAGTAATACCTCTGAAATGCACCCTACTCTCAACAATGGGTTAGACTCTGCTAAAGAATTAGATAATATTGATTTTGTTACAGGTTGTGTTATTGACACTCAAAAAAGTAAATCGTCATAAATGTTGTATTATTTTTAACATCTTCCGCATTTTATTAAAAATACAAATATGACTTTTTTAAAATCAAGCAAAATATTAACTTATCAGTTGTTTTATTAACCTAAAAAAAAGGTTTCTTAAAGAAAGTTCAAATTTTTTAAAAACATTTTAACTATTTTTTATAATTTGCATGTTGTCTATTTTTATTCACCCTCTTTAGTTAAATAGTTTTTATTTAGAATCTATTTCACCAAATTCATCATTTACACTTCAGAAGTCATCAGAATTAGCCACCTCACACGATGAAACCTCACAACCTTATGGTGTTATATTTTGATCACTAGCTTGACTTGACATTAAAAATGCAAAGCGAACAGGTATAAAAAGGAGGGTAAATCATGCTGAAAAAATTACTGGATCACCATATAAATCTCAGCTAGAGGAATCTTTAAACTTGAAACATAAGAACAGACAGCCACGTAAAAAGTGCATTAAAAAAGTATATTTACTCATCAAAAGACGTGTTTGAAAAACCTTGATGCTAAAGGTGCGATTAATAAACAACTTTGTGCAAAGTGTCAATACAGTTATGGTGATCCTGTCGATCCTTATTTGAAAGATAATTGGGATAAATGCCTTAAATGCTGTAGATGGTGGCATAAAACATGTGCTGCTATGTGTGGTGTTTACACTAAAAAAGTATTTACTTGTGATGACTGTATAAAGCACTGATTCTTAAAAAAAAAGTTATATGTCATAAATTGATAAAATGTGTTTTAACTTTCTTAAATAAATCTCTTGTTAAAAAAGTTTCCTTTGAGTTTTGTTTTTTATTTTTTTAAGTTTAACTATTGAAGTTATGTAAAATATTATTTTTTGAACTACTTATGAGCTTATAAACATAAATTCTTATTTAAACAGAATTTAGAAATAATCATCGAAATCGCAGAAATTAGTAATCGTTTCATTAACAATTATACTTTGGAAGCACCTTTATATTTAATAAGGTTTCTGTTTTGGGTGACATTCGTACTTTAATAAAAAAGGTGACATTCATACTTTTAAAATACACGACATTCATACTTTAATAAAATAAATAGGTGGTTCAAAAATTATTATTTTTTGCAACTGAAACGCCCTTAATTAAGTGTCAATTAAGTGTAACAGATTCTATTTAAGAGACAATTCTTTATACAAAACATATTTATAGCTGTTTATAATATTTTAAATATATTAATGCGTTTTCAACAAACTTCTTAATTTTCATAACTATGCCGAATTTACCATACCATAGTGCCAAAAATACCATACTAGGTCGCTAGTTTCGTCATTTTTGAGTAATTTGTAAAACAGGTTTTACGTAAAACTTTGTAAGTTGGAAACAATTTTTTAACTATTATTTAAGAGATATATCTGCAGTGCATCGATATGCATGATTTTTTAATATTATCAAAGCAACCGTTGTCTATAAACAGCAAAATAGCTTAATACGCCGAAATTACCCTACTTTACCCTATATATATATATATATATATATATATATATATATATATATATATATATATATATATATATATATATATATATATATATATATATATATATATATATATATATATATATATATATATATTATATATATATATATATATATATATATATATATAACGCCAAGATAATAAGGGCGCCAAAAAGCGAAATACAAAAAAAAAACGTAAAGAGATTTCTTAACGAAAAATTGAAAAAAAAAAGTAAAAAAAGTAAAAATTTTTTAAAGAAAACACAAAGTTTTATGCAAACAAAACATTTTATTCATAAATCTTATAAATGCTTTCAAGGCCAGTGCGATGGGGGTGTGTGACCCCCCCCCATCAACGATTTTTTCCTTCATTTAGTCGACAAATTTGACCCTTTTTGACTAGTTAGTCGGCAAATGTAAACCTTTTCAACAAGTTAGTCAGTAAATTTAGACAGTCAGTCGGAGGGCAGTCAGCAAATTTAAAAAAAACGAGGACCTTTTTTTTTTAGTCGGCAAAAGTTGTAATGGTACCCCCCCCCCCCCCACGTGACACCTACTCGCGCCAGCCCTGAATCACGGTCGTTTAGATATTAGTAAAATGCGCTATGTTTAGGTACGCATGCGTAAGAAAATACAAAAAACTTTTGAACTTTTAAAATGGCTACGGTTTTTAACTACAGAGAATATTTTATATGGCAACAGTTTATTTGTTAATTAATTTCTGAAAAGCCAATTATATAGCCTTATTTTTAACGTAAATCAATAAAATAATACAAAAATTTCACAAAAATATAAATAAATAGAGGTAACAAAAATCTTTGCGCGCTAAAACTATATTTTTACTTAATACTTTTTTAGTGTAAATCAGATTTGTTTATTTATTTGAAATCAATTTTCTAAAAATCTGACGGTAGGATTTCAATAATTTTTTTTTTAAACTTCAGATAAATATGTTCTTTATGTATGATATTTTCCTGATCATTGCTTCAACTTTTTTTCCATATAAAAATTTGTTTTTACTGTTATGACTATATATCCGAAGTTCCTTATATATCCGACTTATATATATGACTATTTCCTTATATACAGTTATAACTATTTACTTAAATAAGAGCAATTTCATTAACTATTTTGTTATTTACTATATTTCTGACTCTCTCTCTCTCTCTCTCTCTCTCTCTCTCTATATATATATATATATATATATATATATATATATATATATATATATATATATATATATATATATATATATATATATATATATATATATATATATATATATATATATATATATATATATATATATATATATATATATATATATATATATATATATATAATATATATATATATATATATATATATATATATATATATATATATATATATATATATATATATATATATATATATATATATATATATATATATATATATATATATTAGGTATGTGAATTGAAAATTTTAAATTAATCAAAAGTTAGATTGTTGTATATCATTAGAAAGTGCTTCAATACAGTATTTTAAAGGTGAAAAAATTATTAAAATCGGACTATTGTACAAAAAGTTATGACGTTTTTAGTCGCAAATTTTTGATATATGGATTTGTTGAAGAAACTGTGTTAATTTTTCTTTACTTAAAATGTTATAACTTTGTCAATTCTTGTCTAAATACCTATAACTTAGTATCAAAAGATAGGTGTAACTGTGGGCTACAAATTTATAACATCGTCCACCTATTGAGCGTTTCCTGGGGGCTAAAGGGGGTGCCGAACCACCACATTTACCCCAAAAATAAGCATATTTCTTTCAATAAAAATTGTTTTTTTTCAACAAACGGTTATTTTTTTTATACAAAAAATTGCTATAATTTTATTCCAGACCATCAATGATTGATGTTTATTAAAGTTGGTGGTGGATATGGTGGTGATGGTTTAACACACCCTAATTTCAAAAATATTTAATTCTCTAATTATAAATAAATAAATATTTCTATATTTAATAAAATAAGTGAAACTAGTATACAGTATAAAAAGCATAAAATTTTTTTTTGCTACAAGAATTTCATTTATTGGTGGTGTACTTATTGACTTGTGGGAGGGGTGTTTGCCCCCCCCCCCACCTAAAAAAAAAAATAATTCTTTATAATAACAATTATAATTATTTTAAAATGAGTTAACAATTTAAAACCTGAATTATGCTTTTTGCACCAAGTAAAACCTACAAGCTAAAGATAAAGACCACAACCGAGCCTACTTTTGAAAAAAAAGCCTTTTTGCTGCTATTCGTAAACTTTGGTTAAGTTGAGAAGTTTGTTAAATAGGGTGGTAATGGTTACCCACAACCTACAATAAAAAAATGTTGAATTTTTAAAAATAACTGTACCTTTAACAAACAAAATAAATTAGTATATTTCATTTTTTGATATTTCATTAAATATATTTTATTTCATTACCAAAAATATCAGTGTGTTATTGTTCTGTATTAAAACATTTTAGATATCCTAAGTTTAAATAGTTTCTTAGCCTTTAGTAAATAATTAAAATAGTCAATTTCATAAATGGAACACTATAATAATCATTTGTAACAATAGACATCACGTGAAGATAAGCCAGAGCTGCCTATCAAAATATTTTGCAAGTCACAACACTTGTGCAAAGATCATTCCAAGTCAAATACTTTTATTCTTCTCTAAAAACATTTATAAAAAAAAGTAAAACAAAAACATATGGTTTAATACCAGGCATACCTGACTTGATATGACTACTTCTTCAAGTTTTATTACTTACAATACCTTTATACAAGTTTCATCATATGCCGTATCTGTTTTGTAACTTTTATCACTTGCAGTATCAATTTTCAAAGCTTCATTACAAGTAATATCATAAGTTGTTACATATTACACTTCAAAAAAAAATCAACTATCCTAGTCCAACATCAGCGGAAGCTGAAATTTTTTTATGTTGTAGTCAACAGCTTCAGTATCAGTATTAAATTTATTCCAATAAGAAATTGTGTAAACTTTGTCTTGTTTTGTTTTATCAAGTTTTTCTTCTCTACCATCATACATGACATACTTCGAATACTTACTATTGTACCATTCATAGCAAAGTTTTTGCCCAACAATTCTATCTGACATTACATCATCTTAGTCATGAAGTTGTTTGATAGACAATGTATTTAAACACTTTATTTCATAGTAAAAGAGTTCAAGCAACTGTCATTTTAACTTTCTTTTGTCTTTTTCATCTATTTTTTGGCATTTGCATACATGTTTTTTTGAAATATCTGCTCATATATCATTATGCTTCATTTAATTTATCATCTCTTTTTATGGGTTTCTGAATAGATCACATAACTATATTTTTATGGGTTTCTGAATAGACCACATAACTATATTTTTATGGGTTTCTGAATAGACCACATAACTATATTTTTATGGGTTTCTGAATAGACCACATAACTATATTTTTATGGGTTTCTGAATCGACCACATAATTATATTTTCTCTAGATAATTGATCTAAACTATCTAGGTAATTTAATTTGTATGAAACATAACAAACTGTTGCATTAGGTGATCTTTCTTCAGCCTCACTAAACATTCCCATTAGCTCTTCACTATTTATATCGTGCAGCCTTGCACATGCTACTTCCTCCTTGAGAGTCTGGTTAATAGAAAGTGAGAAATATCTCTTACATTGATGAGTTATGACGTCTCCCACTGCAATAAGACAAGCAAAAGTCATATTGATAAAGTGTTCATCAATCAAACAAAACATTTTTTATTGGATCTAAAATATTTGGTTCAAGGTC